TTCAAATTGATGGATAATCATAAAATTATTTTATACATTAATTCAAATTAATGAAATGAAGTATCAAATAATTTTTAAAAATTTTAAAAATTTACAGATTTAATTTATACATTAAAAACTTTAAATTGAACGGTTGAATCGTTAAAATTTGATGTAGAATATGAATTATTGAATGGAATAAGTCTATCCCTCCTCAATTTATATATATATACAAATATAGTTATATTTATTATATGTCATCATATATATATATATATATATATAACACTCCTTATAATATCTAGATGAAATCATATTATCTCAAATATCTTGATCGAATCATATGTATCCCAAATATCTAGAAGATCATGTATTAACAGACATTTATTATTCTTCTTTTTATATGGGATACATGTTCTCATGTCACCAATTTTTAACATCCGAACGAACTTTTCGTCGCAAGAAATAAAATCATTTATAACCTCAACCCGCTCCACTCATTTATAGGTATTAAAAGTATGCGTATATTCTATGATTTAGATTGTCGGAACAATTATTAATATATTACATGTACATAAATTGTGCTATACATATTCGAACACCATTTCTGTGCCCTTATTTTTTTGTCAAGCTAAAAGTATGCTTAAAAAGTGCTAGTATAAATATTACGATATTGAAAGAATGTAGAAATCTATGTCGAACTGACACTTACCTTTCTTACAAGGCGTTTTATTTTACTTTTTTTTCCTCGACAAACAAACAAAATTTTCCAATAAATTAACTCCAGATTTTCCTGTGCGCCAAAATCAAATCTTCAATTAATAAAATGTTTGCAAGAATTGTACTAATGATGGAATTACATATGATAAATATAATAAATAAAGCTGTGAAAATTCAGACATAGAAAAGTAAAAAAAAAAAATGCAACAAGCTAATGAATAGCACTTCATATTGTATGCATGGCCATCGATCAATACTCCATTTTGCCATAAATTGAGGAAAGAAAAAACAATATATAAACTATAATGTATGAACTGTAACTTAAAAAAACTATAATATTAATGTGTGAATGGGACATTTTGCCAACCTAGCTCTGGATAATTCAAGAACTTCAACTCCCCCATTCCTGCCAATAAATATATTTCCATCAAAATATGAAGGTTCTAGCTGCAAAGGCACTTTCATTGGTCCCCATTTCCTAGATGCAATAATGCATGTGTATTACAATACTGAATAGGCATCGCTTTCACGTTCATCTACCATATATAATCGACCTTTAAGAGACAGTAGTATACCCCCAGTCGATAGAAGTGAATAATGTCACAGTAAAAGTAGTTGAAGTGAAGATAGTACGTTGCATGTTCATCAAATTAAATTAATATATGCCATAATAAAACACTTTAAATTTGGTGTAGTTCTATATTGGTTAATTTATAGTTGACACCTACATTTTTTCCATTGCGCTCTTAAATTTTATGGAATTTTCTTTTTCTTACTTTTGTTTTTGTTGATATGATTAAAATAAAAACATAGTTGAGAACAATTTTTATTCTACAAATTATAGTTTTTTGGAGTTGAATTACATGTAAATTCAAATTTTAAGATCATGTTGAAATTTATTGAAGTGATTTATATTAAGTCAAAACATCCAAAATTCTAAGATGTAGTTGAGCTCTTCTTTACCAAAGGAATGACATAATTTAGTTAATAAAAATATTTTAACCTTGATTAAGTTTTTCTATAAATATTTTTCCTAATTTAAGCATTACTTTTAACTTTTAAGTGCTTGATCACCATTTAAATATTTAGGCTCGTGTTAAGAATACTGAATAAGCATACCCTTCTTGCATTGCATTCATGGATGAGGTTAACCTATAAATAGATACGTACCTTCGTTTACGTAGACTATGATTATATTTAAATTACAATTTTTAAAAGAAATTTTTAAGAAGAGAAAAAAAGTTTTTTTTAATAAGGTTAAAGTAATTTTAATAGTGCAAAATATAGATCCTAATATTTTGATCCTGTTATTTTCCGTTCTTTAATTTTTATTTAAATTCTTAAAAGTGGAGATCAAGTTATTTCATTAATTTTTTTATAGTCAATAACTAGCTGTATGTATTTAATCACTTAAAAGAAAAATACGAAAAGTTAATTACTTTAATCACTTTTTATTTTAAAATTATATTCTTCGTATGAAAATGACACTTCAATTTGGCTGTCCAAGTACAGGTGTCGGATTACGTCAGTTTAATTTCCTGGCCTGGCCTAAACTAATTAAGTCAAATACATATTGAATGTTATAATATCTGTTTATTTAATTTTTAAAAGAAGTATTTATAAACATGTTTTTTAAATGTAGATATATATTATTTTTTTAAAAATTTAAACAAAGACATTAAAAACTATAATTTTTTTTTATTAAAAAAATATTTATATAAAAATAAAAAGTCAAAACAAACAAACCCAACATGAAACTAAGAACGTGAGATAAGAAAAAAAAAATCCCGTGAGAACTGACAAATGATGCAAGGTGAAAATGCACTGTTTTTGTTAAATATAAATAATAATAATAATAATAATAATAATAATAATAAGCATTAAAATAAAAAAAATGATATATTTTAAAAGATAAAGAATACATTTAATTTAAGTCATTTTCTATAATAAGAATATTCTTCTACAGCTATCAAGGATCGACGTGAACCAAACTGAGCGAGTCAAATTTATTATTTATTTACATCAATATTCCAATTATTAGTAAGGTGAGTAAAATAAATAGATTAATTTTTTCGAGAGATAAAAATTATCCAAATAACTTTTGTATTTTCAATTTTTTTTCCATACACATCATAAATCAAATTCTTAATGAGATACTTAAATAATTAAATATAGCTATATTTTCAAGTTCACATGTGTATATATATATATACCATTTTTTATTTACCTAATTAACCTTTCCCACTTTTATTTACCTAATTAACCTTTCCCACTTTTATTTACCAAACTAACTTATTTTTCAGTCCAAGTGAGAAATGGATTGTATCGATTTCTCTCTTTTTTAATTCAATTTTTTTTTTTGTTTTATTTTGTGTTTTTTATTTTTAAAAATTATTTTATTTTAATTTAAAATTCACCACAAAGTGCATATACTTATATGAAAACTGAGTTTTTCTTCTTTTTCTTCCTTTCACTCTAAGGTTGGTGGAAGTTCTTCAACGAACCTCACTACCAATAATGCTCAAATGGTATATGATGAGGATTAAGTTGAACCTGAACAACGACGAATTGTTCATCGAAATCCAAGAAGAAATAGACAACTTCCAAGGTGTGGAACTAGTAGACACAAACATCATTAGTTTATCTTAGTATTATATAATTTGTGGGGTGTGATTTTTATTTCTTTAGGTTATCCTTTGATCTCTTGTATGTCAACTAACTCACTTCGTGAACTTTTATTAAGTCTCTATTAAGCTAGTTTTTTTTTCTTGTGACAACTATTTTCTATAATTTTTATGTCAATCAATCCAACGATATCATTTTCAGGTCTCAGATATGTTTGTAACACCTTTTAAAAGTCATTCAAAAATTAAAAAAATTAGAATTTCATACTAAAATTCATTGATTTATAATACAAAATTTAATATATAATATAAGTATTTCTTGTTATATAACTTAAATGTTCCATATAAAATAATTAAATTAAATTAATTTTTTTAAAAAAAATCATTTAAAATTAATTATCTATAATTATTAAAACAAAACAAAATAAATAAAATAAAATTATACGTATTTAAAATATAATAAATTAATTATTAAATTTAAATATTAAATTATCTATATTTTTAAATAAAATTTAAATATTAAAAATATATTATTTTTAATTTTAATTTCTGAATTTTAAATTAAATTAAAACTACTTAACTAACAATTCAGATGTGACAACAGTTCTGAATTCTGATGAAGGATCCAAGTTATCGGGAGTCCACTGAAGGCGGAGATTGACAAGCAGGTGTATCAACGCTGATCGTTATATTGACATTAAGTTCAACTGTGAGCCAATAACCAAAATCAAGACACCCTCCAATCCTCAAATAATTACCCAAAAACGCTCCCAAATAATTAATTGAGGAAGGCAATATTATTTGATAAGTGTCCCACAAAAAGATAAAAATAAAAATCCCGCCAACACAACTCAAAAGGCTTGGTTAATTATCCTCTACATTTTGCAGAGATGTTTTGGGCTTAGGTGGTGGTGCTATTTTGCCCATAGCTGTGCATGGAAAAAGATATACAGTACCACGTTCACTGCACATGTCTCAAATGTTCAATTCTTAGACCTATACGAAAAACGAAAAACCTACTCTCATAATGAATCTTAACATGTAGAATCAATCTCTAACTCCTTAAGAAGAATATCTTATGTTAAAATAAAAATAGAAAAGACTTGTAATCACAAGGTTCGATCATTAGGAGAAAGTGAAGGCCCCCTATACTGAATAGATTCATCCTCCTTAACTATGACATGTTCGACAGTAACTTATCCATATTTATAGCCCCCACCGTAAAATATGTTGCAACAACCCAAAGACCATAAATGGTATCACTAGTTGCAATATCTCTTCTTACACTACATTGGATTGACTTTTTACACATTCATGAAAAGTAGTCAAGCAAAAAAGTTATCAATCGTTTCAGGTTATTTTGCAAAGGACTGACTATCATACTATATTATCCTCTCTCTTTTTTAATATGATTCACTTCAATCTTGATAGTAAACACTAGAGCAACATGACTAAAAATTTACATGAAACTGAATAAATGAATCCGATTACTCTTTC